TTTTACAGCTACTTGTATTACTACCTGGTCGTGATCCTAGAAGATGAAGATGAAAACAAACTGATAGACCTCTTCATCCTAATCGACCACGTCATCCAGAAATCCAGTGAAGATGACGGATGAGGAGGTCGACTGGGATGAGCGCATCAGGCGTCTAGAGGCGGATCTGGAAGCAGAGGAGCATCGTGGAGCTGCGATTCAAGAAAAGCATGCTTTGTTGGATCACGAGCAACAGGATGTTGTAGTTGTACATGAAGATGTTGAGATTTCTTGTGAAAGAACTCCCGTTAGACGTGTACCAGATCCAGTAGAACAAGCGGCAGTGCTTGTACGAGGTTCTAGAGGTCCTGGAAGCAGTAGATCGTCGTCGAACGACATCCCGAATACGAAGACCTCTACTTCTTCCAAAGATCATAGAAATATTCGAGATGACCGTCGCGCGAGTAAAGCTAGTTCTGCTTCCTCCAGTCCGGTTAATAAAAAAGCGCCGTCAACTACTACAAATAACTACCTGTTAAATCTGGCGAAAGCCAAAGCCTCAACCACGACTCCTCCATCTGGGACTGCTTCATCACGGGCACCACGGCGGGCTGAGGGCAGTACAGTCTCTGTTGGACCAAGAGGAGGTGGAGTCTCGTCTACCCTAAATAAGTTATTAAGGGTTACTACTTACAACTCACCCTGCGTTGTTTTTCCGAACGTCAGGGAGGACGATGTCATTCGGAGGAACGCAAAAGAAATAGTGAGTAGCCACCTCTATTAATATTTAAGAGCGGAACTCCTGGTGCATCCCCATCAAAATCTTCCTCTACCTCAGTGTCACCTTCCAAAGCCAAGAATGCCAAGGCTGCTTCCCCAGTGTCACCTTCCAAGAATGCGGCACGTCCGCCTCCACCAGCGCGCGTCTCATCCTCCCACGTGTTTGAGCGCGTCACACCTAGTGGAATTCGCGAGTTCAAGCCCATGCTCAGCGACGAAGTGCTCAAGGAACCACCAGCCCCACCGCCACCCCCGAGACTGCCCTCGGCAGCAAAGACGTCAACCGTCAGCTTGGATTCGAAAAAGAACCCTGAATATTAAGAGAGGATGTCTTGGAGCACGATCTCGATCGGTGTCTGTTAACTATTATCTACTACTACTCTTTCTTTGTGGCTTACTGCTTCGAAATACTGATCTTAGAAAGTCCTAGGCCCATCTTACTACTACTACTAAGTACTCTTTCTTTGTGGCCTACTCTGTTAACTATTATCTACTACTAAGTACTCTTTCTATTTCTTTGTCGGTATCGACAACTTCAACTTATCTGTCTGTTAACTATTATCCACCTTATCATGACAACTTCTACGTTCATGCTCCTGACTTGTTGCGGGAACAAGAAATCGCGAGTCAGGAGATCGGAGCAACTACTGGTACGGCTCGGGGGCACACAACAAGTGCATCAGCTCTCCTGAAAAACAGGATGATCAATAAAGGGAAAGCTGCGGGAGGATCTTCTACAACAGGGCGGGATGAACGTCGTGGGGCCCCTGCGCAGAGGAATATCCTTCGTGGGAATCCAAACAAGGCTGACGAACATTTAAATGAGCTACAGAAACAGCTGAAGGGTGCTGAATTAACGACCCGATCTATCACGGGAGTAGCATTGGAGTCGCACAGGCAGAATGTGCAGATGTACAACGATTACATTGCGAAACAGGCGAAACTAGAAGACTCCCGAGTAGGAGTGATTGGTCGCAAACCTGAGAATATTCCTCTGCCCAAATTTTTGGCCTCTGACGGAGCGGCGCAAGTCGGTGGTGCAGCTGTGGAGAGTGGAGGTGGTAGAAGAATGTCTGCTGGTGCTAGGGGGATATCATTTGTTAAGGCCGCAAAGGGAAACGTTATTTGTAATCCGAATATCCTTCTACTTGATGTACTCGTTCATTGATTTAGAATCTTCATGTTCTGTCCACCTCTTCCTTGTCCTTCTAATTCCTGTGCTGAGAGCACCGAAGACGCCTTAAACTCCAGCACCAGCAGTCTGAGCACCTCAACCACGCAAGCCGGAATCAAGCGACAGTCTTCGATCAGAAGCGCCAGTCGCTCAGCATTAGAGGTTGTCTATGAAGGTACGGAACCACAGAGCCCTACCCGAATGAGCTTAACAGGACCAGTAGCTGGATCAAGTCGAACAAGCAAGAACTTCAAGCCTCAACCATCTTCGGAACAATTGAGTCGGCGAGCGGCAGAAGTTGCAGGTTCACGTGGTAGCGGTTATGTCAAGAGCTTCGGTCTGGCAAACGTAGCAGCCGCCTCGAATCTGTCAGCGACATTGGTTGAAGCAGGTGCAATTGGAGACTCGGAAGCTGCTGGAGGTGAAGGTGGAGGAGGAACAACAGCAACAGTAAAAGATTTTGATGCACCAGTAGCTACTACTTCAACAGAACAAGATGCTGATGCTGATGCTCCTACTTCATCTTCACCACAGAGAACAAGTACTTTTTCTACCTTTAGTAGAAATCATCTTGCCACGACGAGCACGACATCGAAGACTTCCAAGTTGAGATTGGCGGGTCTAGATGTTTCAGCACTCGTGGATTCGACAGATGAGAGTATACCAATGGCTGCTTTTGGCCTGGGGGTGGAGGATGTACCTCTGACTAAGAATACAACTGGTAGTTTTATGTCTCTGACTCCTGGTAATGCTAGTAGAAGGTTTGGACCGTTCTCTACTGTCATCAATGGCAATCTGCGACATCACGCTACTTCTGGGACTGCGACCAGGGCTGCAGCCAGAAATACTCTCGCAGAAGGCAAGAACCCAACGATTTTTTCCGAAGAGTCGTATCTCCACGATAGAATTCGGCGTGTCCGCTCATTGCTTCTAGAGGGCGTCAACGTGGCCTTTGTCCTCTACGGCGACTTCAGGGACAGACTGGGCGAAATCATCGCAAGATCCTGCTTTTTAGAGTCGGCGGGACACGTGACGCTACAGGTGTTTGACTTGCTGGAAGAGGATGTGATCCGAGACTTATTAGAAGTCACGAAAGCCCAAGGCCACGATCCACGAGGGACTACAACTAGGTCGACAGGGGGAGGAGGGCAGCAAACCGTTGGGGGAACGGGAACACGTGATACAAACAATTCCTCTACAACTACCGCTAGTACACCTCGACGCACAACCAGATTAAGACTGCCGAAGGTGCATTCATCTCAGCATCATCCTATTCTCCCTTTTTCTACTTGAAGAAGGGAGTAGGAGTAAGTACGAGGCTGCTCTCAACCTCAAGGACGATGCCTCCAATGTGGTAGTAGTTCTAACAACAGCCACTGCTTCCACGTCCTCAGGTCGAAGAGGATTCTCTGCAAGCGCTGGGAGTGCGGCAGGTGATTTTGGGAACGATGTCAAGGTTTTTGAGCTTATACAACATCCGGATTTGCCGATTTGCGTCAAAAACTTGAGGAGAGTGCAAGTAAGACATCGCCACGACTTCGGGAATCTGCTGGACCTGGCAGTGTTCAAGCAAGGGGTTTATGGGAGGTATAAGATTTTGGATCTTTTTTGTTGTCATCTTTTTTGCTGGTGTTCCTTCCAGCAAAGGAAATGAACATTAATACGCAGAGTAGTTTATAGCACGCATGGTGCATGGAGTGCATGGAGTAGCATGGAGTGCATGGAGCGCAGAGCTTTAAGGGGCGCAAGAAGCTCCCCCTTTAGCTCCATGCTACTCCATGTGATCCATGCACTCCATGCCATGCGAGCTGTGAAACCTTACAAACTGCTCTATAATAGTGCTCAAGTCAACATAATAAATTGCAATTCCTCTTAGGGTTTCGACTTTCCTTCAAGTTTCCTCTTAGGGTTTCGACTTTCCTTCAAACACAATCCATCACTTCACAAAAAGAAAACTCTTCTCTCAGCCACATCCCCGGCTACTTCGACAGTGAAGCCAAGCCATTTTTCACAAGGCCTGTCGCTCGCGTTTATCTCGTCGACCACTGGAGTCTTCCAGGGGACCTGACTTCCCAACTAGCTGTCGTCGAACTCTCTCCCACGATGACCTCCATGGACACGGTCGTCAAATTCGAGACCCAGTCTAGATTGCAGGAGTATCTACTACGGCTACTCCATGCCCCGATGCCCAAAAGCGCTGAACAATCGAAATTGGACAGCAGAGCTGGCGGTGGTTCATCGTCATCTAGTAGTAGGTTAGTAAGCCGTGGAGTAGGTCGTGGAGGAACAGGAGGAAACAGCAGGGAGGAACATCGTTCGAAGTTCTCTTTACTGATGTCCCAATTCCTCGGCGACACCGAGCGAACATTTGCTACTTTTTGTCTCCTTGGCATGGTTCTAGAACCCACCAGTATGAACATGATTGACGCGGCCAGAACGAACGCAGCGTTAGCGGAGGAAAGCAGGGAACGAACTGAGCGGCACTTTGACATTCTCCAGATGGGACAGATGTTCTCCTTAATGCATGGTCGATATGCGAAGATGCCCAAGAGTGTCCAGAAAGTCGGGATCAACAAGGACAGGAGACTCGCAATCGTCAACGCGCTGAAAGAAGAACTCCACAATGAGTGCGGGTACCACCTAGACGACCAAGCTTTGCTGGCTCTCGGAGCTTCAGGAGGTGGCGGGAAGCTTTTTGGGAATGTGCAGCAACCGTCTGTACCCAGAGGAAGGAAGAACAAGAACAAGACGAAAAGTGCACCTGCTTCCACAACAACAACGCCTAACAAAGGCAGAAGTTCAACTTCGACGCCGAGACAAGTTGTAGGCAGATATGCATCTGCCTCGACAACGTCTCAACCTCAAGGTCAACAAGGTATAGAAGACACCGATGAAAATAAATCAGAGTTCGGGGCGGGTGAGGATCAAGAGGGCTCATCCTCGTTCGAACAAACCGGAGATGAAGACGGCAACAAACCTGACGAGGATCCACGTTTAACCCTTCTACGTTCGCACCACGACATCTGTTTGCACGAGTCTTCAGAAGAAGCCTTAGGCTTAGTCTACAGTTTGAACCAACGCTACGGCTTCATCCGCAAGGAGCATAGGTCTTCAGGCAGCACAGTAAAGTCGTCCTCTAGCGGTCGCCACACACAGTTCAGTGAGGAGCTGTTGAACTCCTTGACAACTGCGCAAAACCAGAATTCGACATCTCCAGTCTCTGCTTCTCCTGCAAGAGGAACTGTAACTACTTCACCCAAACAACCGACTGCACTTGGTTCGCGCACTTGTGTGGCAATTCCAGAAATATTGTCAGAACTAGCAATGACTGCAGCGTCTGCTACGGTAGGTGTCGTGGCCTCTACAACATCAACTACGACAACCTCTTCACAACTCCTTCCATCTTCGTCAACCGGAGCCGTTTTAGACCCGCAAAGGATAGTGGAATTCACAGAAATCGCTGCACCAGATGTAGGTCCGCCAGCACCTTGTCTACGGAGTGTTTCTTTGGAAGAGAGGAAACTAAACGGAGCCATCAATTATGACTCTAGGAAATGCATCAGCATCTCAAAAGTCATCCGGACAAAGAAAATATGAAGGAAAACGGACCCAGATGACCTGTGAGATGCGTTCCCTATACGACCTCTAAATCAAGTATGACCTCGCTCCGAATAGGACTGTGTATTTGACGATGGTGCCGAACCGTGACATTGACGGAGGGTTCAAGGAGTTGCTGAAAAGAGGCGCTACTGCTTCGGCTAGTAGTGGAGGTGGCGATGGTTCAGCATCAGGGGATATGAAATTGAGCCAACATCACAATTCCAGTGATAACTATGACGCGCCGACAGTACACGATCCGGAACGTACTACGGAGAGTTCCGACTCCTACCTGTTACCCGATGTTCTAGATGCTACCAGTGCCGCGATGCTTCGTGTTGCCAACCACTTCAAACGTACAGCGTCGAAGGGTAATTTGAGTAAGACCAAGCGAGAACCACCTATATGGCTGCGGCGCGCTGCTTTATTACGCCGGTCGAGGGAGATGCTTTTGGTTAAGAGCGTGTTCGTTGCTTAATAACGGAATAGGAAAACCAAAAGTTGGCAGCACAGGAACAGGATAAGCTCAGTAGATTATCACAGGCTAGCGCAGGGATGGACATCCCTGCGCTACTCCTGTTAAGTTTATTAAGTCACTTCGGCTTGTCTCGATAGAGAAAACGAGATAGTTTGGCTCTGATATACTGCCACAGTGTATTTTTACTTTAAGGAAGAAAGGGAAGAAGAGTGGGAAGTGAAATACTGCAGACGAGACAAGGAGGAATAAACTCAAAAGGTGGCAGCACAGGAATAGGATAAACTCAGTAGATTAAGATTATGAACTTGAAAAATAGCTCTCCTCCTCCTGCTCCTGAATCCTCGTCTTGGTGCTCTTTTTGCTCTAATATCAACGCCGCCTATCACGGAGCTTTTGTCTCTTGGGCTCGAAACGTATTACGGGACGCTGACGGAGAGGTCGCAGAATATTTCTCCAGTCCCGCTGCTGGTCTCATGGACACCTCCAAGACGAGTAAGAGAAGTAGCAGCGCCACTGTTTTCACAAGCTACAATAATATGAAAAGGAGGTCTTCAGCGTCGAGTGCTGTAGAAGGTATTGGTACGTCGAGAGGCGTTACGATCGTAGCTGGTGATGGCGCCAGGATGAGCATGATGTCGAATAACAGTGCTGCTTCTGATACGACTCAAGGAGGTCGGCGTATATTACGAGTGTAGGGAATTCATCTCCAAAGTCATCTGGAAGAGAAAGACAAGAGGAAAAAGGGACCCAGATGATCCCTGAGATGAATTCCCTTTCCCGAAGCCTCTAAGTATAACTACTGCATCTGCTGACTCTGTAACATCTACCAGGCTCAACTCCAAGAGTATCAAAGGAAGAGTGTCAATGTTTGGACCGCGTAAACAGGCGATGAAAATCTCCACAGTATCTCGTACGGGATCGAGCGCTACTGCAATTCTCAATCCTCAACTAGGATTCAATCTTGGAGAAGAAGATGGTCCTGACTGTATGATGCCACTCATTGAGAGCTGCCCAAGTTACATGGGAATTTCGTTCCTAAGTAAAACGGCGAAGGGGGAGTGGGGTCCTCCGACATTCGGCATTCCCATGTCGTTGAAACTCTCAATGATTGGAAGCATTCAGTTTCACTGACGTTGAAAGACAAACGAGAAATCTTCGACCTCCATCTACCTCCAGTGCGGGAGCAAGAGTAGGAGTACCAGTTCCGAAAGTTCTCAGTACGCCTGTGTTTCTGCAGGTTGCATTCGAAAACTTATCACCAGATGATGGAGGTCCTCGAGGTGACCGTGACGACGAGGATGGCTTTTCGTTCTCTTCAGCAAGCGAGACTGATGAACAAAGTAAAGATGACAAAAATATTATGGGAGCAGGAGCCTTTCGCTTTCAGTCCACTGCAGCTGCATCATCTGCGGAACAACAAAATTCGGCTTCATCCTCTTCGCGAGTGCCAGGCTCTGCCTTACTCCCTTTTGCCAAGAAAAAGGCAAAGCCACGACGTAGATTAAGGCTTCTCCTATTCCATCTCCGGAAGCATCTTGGAGACGTTTTCAAGGGGAAAATGGATTCAGGATGCGTCTCAGGATGGATAAGGGTGAGCTCCAAGTAGATTAGTTTTGCGCAATTTATCTCGGAGTCTCGAAGTCCTAGTCAACGGGTGTATCGTTCTAGGGAGCCAACCACTACGACACAAGGACCGCGTACGGCTGGGCCCTTACCTATTCGAAGTCGATGAATATCACAACGCTGCTAGCGCCCTGACGTTTAGACTAAGGCGATCGAGTTATTTATTTTGTTTTAGATTGTTTGATCAAGAAATAGATCAAGAGAGCAGGAGCCTCTCAGCTGCGCATCTTTGCCCACTTCTTCAGGGGGATCATGGAAAAAAGGAGACTCCCAAAGGGATAGTCATCGTTCCATACGAAGATCCTGATGGTGAAAATTTAATCGGCTTGAGATCCATCGTGTAGACCATCTACGACGCCCTTATGGCAGTCTGCACTGAACTTTGTGCGGGATTAGTTGTATTGTAACTAGGGAAGTTGCTCCTCTGGACCCCACGTGGCAAATATAGTGGGCTAGGAAGTTCCTCCTTACTGCAACAAGAATTTTTTAGCTTCCTTGACTATTTTGAAAACGAGGAAGAGAGAAGAAAAACACTCAAGCAGCTTGAGAGGCTCAAAGAGTTGCAACGTCGAACGCGAACGAGAATAAGAGCGAGCGCTGTTTTTTGTTGTTGTTGCATTTTTTTAAGATGTGAAAGCCTTTACGAGTGTACAGTAACCCGAGGCCATACCTGGCTCAGCCCGCCAGAGTAGCAAGCCAAGCCACGAACCCGAGAGGGCTCGCCGCTGCCGTTTCCGCCGTGAACCCGATTCGGCCCCGTCTTGCATGCTTCGGACAAATCAGCCTCGCGAACCCGAGCCCGAGCCTGGTCTCGCGAGCGCGGCTCCTTGCGGGCCCGGCCCCGTGCC